TAGTAACATTCTGATACTGCAATTCCATTTATTCAGTCATTATTGCTTCTCCTGGATGGAAAAAATTATAATAAAAGTCTCCTGGGTTTTAAGATATGTTCGGTACCTCCTTCCAGACTCCATACAGATGCACACTTCCCCTAGACACAGCAACACTGAATTATCAGTGGAACGCAAACATACATTTAAAGAACTAACCAAGATATGGCATTCAGACAAGAAGTTTCTTAAATTGGTGCAGCAGATATTTGTGAATAAACCATCACAGAATACTCAGCTAGCCTCAAGTGGGCTGGGGTTCACAAACATCTGGTAAATGAAATGCCAAGGTCAGTCGTCACAGTAGTAGGCCATAGAAAGTAAGTTGATATGCCCAATAGTTTCGTAATAATCAAGCTTTCACTGCAACATAGCCAAAGAGGAAACACAAACTACCAAATTCCACAGCTAAGGATACTACATTGGAGAAGACAGAACATTCTTCCCCTTCATTCTCTGTGGTTAAATGCCAGTGCAGCACAACAGCTGTTGTTGGATACCAAGTCCCATAATCCTTAGCTGTAAATCAGACAACTGGGGATAATAAGAGATGATGTCTGTGACCGCATTGGATTTCAATGACAGTAAAACATCTATGAGAATAATGGTAAGGGGTTAATCGGAAATGGGAAGGAAAAGGACAATTTAAAGCGTTTAATCAGAAAATGCTGAAAGCAAGGATTAAACAATTCTAGCACTCCTAAGTGAATTAATTACAGTAATGGTTTAATGATAAGGTTTTAAGTTAGCCAGCATGTTAAGTGTGAGGGTTTTAACGATTATGGGTTAAATCTAAGGATTTTATTGACAGTTAAGCTTCTAAGGCAAGGGTGGCCGAGGAGGTAGGTTGCCAGCTGTTGTAGATCTATAACAATAACATAATGCTTTAAAAAGTCTGTAAAACACAAAGATTGGTTATTATATGTACAACAGTTTAGGATTCAACTTTTGTCCCCATGCTTTGTCTAAAGGGTTAATTGTAATGCCAGACGTTGAGGGGGCATTCTGAAGTTGCCCTCCACCCTTTCTGCACAACTTATATAGCATCTGCCCACACTAACCCTATAGCGCCTCCCAATGGCTCAACATCACTTTACCCCCTTCTCATGCAGTGCAGAATCACCATCCCCCCCAACCCGGGCCGGGGGCCGCTCACCTCCTGCTTATCCAACAAGTGTGTCCGGGGATCCGAACATGTCCTGGAGTCTGCCTGTCACATCACAGTCCTGGGAGCAGACAGTCTCTCATTCCCTCGGTAAGAGCTGGCTGGCAGCCTGGAGTCTCCGCTCCGTTCGAACAAAAAGAACACTCAGCACCACTTGCTACAATGTATCACTTTACGCTCCCTCTACACTCCAGATTCCTGATAAACTTGGTTCCCTGCAAAGATGTTTTAGCACATCTCTCGGGAACGTGCACGCAGGCTGCGTGAGGCTGAGTGTGGAGGGAGGAGGGAGGCTGAGCGGGGAGGAAGGAGGGAGGCTGAGCGTGGCTGCTGAAAGTCCTGAAAGCTCAATAAATCATCCCTGCTTATCTCCTCTGCTTGTAAAATCCTTAACCATTACTTCCGCAAAATGTCTTTTTTTAAAGCACATATGATTATCCGTCTGCTCTCTTTTACTAGTCTTTTACAAACATCCCCAAATTCAACATGACCCCTCCATATATTCTTATTATATATAATGTGTATTCACAAAACTATTTCAGCCTCTCAGAAGTCACTACCTTTTACCATCCATATAGGACTCAATGGGTTAAAAATAGGTTAATACATAACCACATATGACAGCTCTGGGATTGAAAGGGTATATTTATAAAATAGTAAATAGACTGCACTCACTGTCTCTTAATAGGAAACTTCAAACTATATTGTAGAAATGAGGATTCAGTCCCTGTCTGGGACTTTCATCAGGATCATACGTATATACTGTATGTAAAAGATATAGAAATGGGGTACAGCTGGGTGTCTAAAACAAAAAATATATATAACAAATAATAGTGTAACACTTATAGGAGGGCTGTAATGCCCCCACTTTGTGTGGAACTCACAGACTCCACATGAAAAGAGCTATTGAGGTTGCCTTCCCCCCAGGGGAGGTATGGTTTTTCAATCGGTGTAGTGCTCTTGTATCCAAATCAGGAATCAGGTAGGTAGGTAAAAAAAAAAAAAAGATTTATTACAAATAAACTGGTTAAAAATAGATATATTAAAAAAGCAGTGGTATATCACCGGTCCTATGCGTTTCGTTTCTATAGAAACTTCCTCAGGGGCACCTTGTGAGTGAGGTCACCATCAGGGAAGGGACCTTGGAAAGCTGTGCTACTAAATTAAGTAGTTTTTCCCATATACTATCACTTTGGGGTGTATTGGATACGTTTTGGGTTTTGTATATACTGTATGTGTATATATATATATTTATGCAGACACACATGCACTTTCAATAATGCATGTCTTTATTTACTCTTTCAGACCCACAGGAATCACCACATTTAATCATCCCAAAGACATCTAAAATGTTATATTGAGCTGTTAGACCTCAATTACAGCGTCTAATTTGCACAAATTGGTAAAAGAACGCATTCAAAGTTAATACATTATGTATTTTATTAAATCATTCTCCATTTTTTTCTATTTTATTTTATCTTACTTTGTTTTATTTTAAATGTATTGACAATGTCTTGCAGAGTTTGCCAACTGATGAGCCTTCATTGTATCGCTTTTATAATGGTTGAGTATGAAAAATTGCTTATTACTCTTCATTGTTTCATGACAGTAAAATAGTTTAAAACTAATAATCCCCAAGAGACTGAAAGAGTTAATATATACAAACTTTTGTGAAAGTCCCTGCTGAATGGCATGCTCTTATTGGCTGTAAGCCCTGTCGTTCTCCTTTTTCCTTGCCTCTTGGCAGGATGAAGTCAACAGTGAAGAAGAAACACAGTTTTACAAATGGTTTGGCAGTGATTTGCCCTTGAGTCTTTAATTAAACAAGTTAAAACCATGTAAAAAAATACCATTAGCTAGAAAACAAAAATATAATGCATAAATGTCTTCTACATACAAGGTAAATGCCCAGCTGTGGTACAGCTACAATGATCATGATTCATGCCTCCCAACGTTTCAAATGGACAAAAAGGGACACTTTCCTTTTAGGGGTGTGGGGTGTGTGGTCAGGGGCAGGGGTATTCCAAGACATTTTGAGTTACTTACTAATAACAATTTATACCACTAAAATGTAATATATAACAAGAATAATGTATTTATTTTCACAGACTAATTTGTTTTATTGTTATTTACAGTCACATTGCTAGGGGCACTTCAATCTTGAGTGCTTTGGTGAAGTTAAGAGCTAAGCTGGTGGTAGCATCACTTGCCACCCAAGTCAGACAGATCTTAACTGAGAAGTCAGACAAATTAGTGTCCAGCACCTTAGTCATACAGGGTGATTCCTGCATGTTGGCACCAAAAGGGCCAAACTTGGGCAGATGAAGTTCAGCCCTGTCAGGTCATTCATCTAGGAGAAGGACCCTTCAATATAAATCCTACAACCTGGGGACCATGGCAGATAAACTCCATGTGTAAAGCGTGGAGTAAGTATGGCGCACACTGCCACCCACCTAATAACTCCATTGTCCAGGCTCGAAGTGTATGCCCACGTCTACGGTCAATATTATCATTAAGCCCTGCAGCGATGGGAAAGGGGCAAACTGGCAGGTGGAAGATGACACTGAAAGCTGCAGTTCCGAACATGCATATAGGCTTTCCAGGTGTATGGGTCATCAGATGAGGACATAATTCGGCAGAACCCTGAACGACCAAGCAGTCTTATCTAGGGATAGCACTGCTTGCTCCATTCAGAGACGGGCCTAGAAAAGGTGGCCTAACCAAAGTAAATCTCTATTCCCCCCCAGTTGGCTAGCCACGGCCAACGGGCATCTTTAATAGAGTTGAACAAACAAAACAAGTAAAAGGCAAACACTTGCCTTATGAGGTGTGCTAGGACTAAAACTTGTATGTTGGAACATCAGAGCCATGCTCGATACGACAAACAGCAGTTGCCCTGAATGGCGCTCTTCTTTAGTCACCCACAAATTTTCAATGCTGATATCTCTGCTCTCAGTGAAGACCGTCTCCTATGGCTAGGCAGCCATCAAGAGCTTGGTGCAGGATACAACCTCTAATGGTCTAACAAGCCAGCTTTATAATCAGGAACTCTGTTGCCTCCCAACTTGAAAATCTGCCATTGGTTCACTCAAATCGCATTATATCCATGCGCCTCCAACTTCAAAACAAGCAACATGTCATGCTGTTTAGCAGGAATGCCCCAACTCTTCAAGCAGTCCTGCTGAAAAAGACACGTTCTACACTGAACTACGCAATCTCATGCAGAACGTCCCTGCAGACAACAAGGTTATCATCCTTGGTTACTTCAATGCCAGAGTAAGCAAGGACTCAGAAGCCTGGAAAGAAGTACTTGACAAACATGGTGTCGTAACTGCAATGACAATGGGCACCTTCTGTTAGAACAAAGATGGCTTTGATGAGAATAATCAGAATATCCAAGAATTGTTGATGAAGAAGACATCTGCTCACCAAGTGCACCTTGCTCAGCCATCTTGTTCTGATATGAAAGTAGCCTTCCGTCTTGTATGCAGAACCCTCCAACGGAAGGGCTCCGAGGGTTTAAGAAGAATTGTTGGACTAACCTTGCAGAGGGAACTCAGATTTCCGCAGATGTTGGTGACTACACAGGGTTTTATGATTCCCTTAAAGTATATGGCCCTTCACACCAGTTACAGAGTCCCTTGCACAGTGCAGATGGTCAAACACTCCTCACAGACAAGGCATCCATCCTGAAAACGGTACACGTTTATGCACTCCATCACAGTTAAGGCTATTAAGCAGCTGAAAAGTGACAAGGCAGCAGGAGTCGATGGAATTCTGCCTGAAGTCTGGAAGCATGGGGGCCCAGCATTACACACTAAACTTCATGATCTCTTTGTCTGCTGCTGGGAACAAGGCAAACCACAGGATCTGTCACTCTATAATGATCACCCTGTATAAGGACAAAGAAGAAAAGTCATACTGCTCCAACTATCCGAGGATAACACTGTTCTCCGTTGCAGGAAAAATTCTTGGAAGGGTACTTTTGGACAGAGTGGTATTCACCATTGCAGAAAAACTCTTTCCAGAGAGCCAAAGCAGCTTCAGAGCTAGGAGGAGCATCACCAACTTGGTATTTGTTCTCAGACAGATCCAAGAAAAATGTCGGGAACAGAACAAGGCATTGTACATTACATTCATTGTTCTCACCAAAGCGTTTGACACTGTGAGCAGAAAAGGTATGTGGCAAATCTTGGAATGCCTAGGATGTCTCCCTAAGTTCCGCAATATGATCACACAGCTACACAAAGATCGATATGACTAGTCAGACACAGCAACAACCTCTCTGAACTCTTCCTTGTAGGAAATGGTGTAAAACAAGGCTGTGTTCTTGCACCAACTCTCTTCACGGTCTTTTTTCAGCTTGATGCTTCAAAGGACCACTGTAGACCTTGATAAAGAGGATGGTGTCTGTATCCGCTGCCACACTGATGGCTGCCTATTTAACCAAGACTGTGCACCACCTGATGAGAGAGCTTCTTTTACGCTGATGACACTGCCCTTGTTTCCCACATGGTGACAGTCCAGCAGCGAATAATGTTCTGCTTTGCAGAGGCTCTGCTGAACTCTTTGGATTAGAAAAAAGCCTATCAGCCTGCACTTCATGAAGTTTTCCATCAACCCCGCATGACTATTGGCAAATCAGAGCTGATGACAGTTAATCAGTTCAGCTACCTTGTGTGCATTATCTCTTCAGATGCCAAGATCAACAAAGAGATAGATAGCAGACTGGCAACGTAAAATAGAGCTTTCAGCTGACTGTATAAGAGGGCCGGCCTTAGGGATATGTGACACAGCTCGCAACAACCAGGGCCTGCTTTAGCTCAGAGCGCCCTAATAGGGGGGAGATTTCACCCCGGCCATCCGATCCACTCTTAGAGAGGGATCTCTGTCTTTTTATTGGCCGGTGGGGAGATTGAGGATTAGGGGGCACAGAACACTTCAATTCTGCACCTTCACCAGGTGCAGATACTGTGCTGTTTTCTCGCGAGCTCGACATTCAGAGTGTTGCTGCGTGTTTCCATGGCAATGCTCTCATACCACCAGTGCAGAGCTTGTGAGAGGAAGGCTCCTGCTCTGCAAGGTGCAGAACTGAAACATTGGCAGAGACCGCTGGACCACCGGGGAATCAGTATTTCCCACTCCCTGGCCAAAGGTATGCAAGAGGGGGGGGGCAGAAGGGGGAATCAACTTGAATTCATTTTGATAAGGAAAATTATTAATAAAAAACAAACAAAAAATGACATAGCTCCCCCTCTTTTAAAGCCCTATGTCACCCACTCCTACACACAAAACATCTCTAGCCCAACCACACTATATGCCCTACACACACAACATAACCTACACCACACTACATACCCTACATGCACAATACATCCATATCCCACACCAAATTGTGTTCCCTACACACAGTACATCCATATCTCACTCTACACAATCTACACACTACATCCCTGTCCCACTCTACAGAACCTACACACTACATCCTTATCCCATTCTACATAACCTACAACATACACATAATCTACAAACATACACACTACACCCCCATGCCACACCACGCTGTGTTCCCTACACACACAAACATAAACACTTCCTCACTATCTGACACCACACTATGTTTGCTACAATCACTCTAATCAGTATCCCACACTATATTACTTACACACTACATAACCTCCACAGATACACTACATCCATATTCCACCTCACACTATGTTTCGTACACATTCCACATAACGCCAAACTATGTTCCCTTCATAATCTACAAACATCAACACTACATCCTTATCTGGCACTGCACTATGTTCCCTACTACATAACCTACAAACATCAAAACTACATTCCTATCCCACACCCCTAAACACTACATTCCCACATATGTTCCCTACTCACACTACATAACCTAAACACTACATTCCTATTCCATTCCACCCACCACAGTGTGACTAGTAAACAAAAAATTATAAATATATTATATACTCTATATTATGAGTTCCTGATTCTACTTGACTGTTTTTATAAGTATACTGTTTTGGATTTCACTTAGGGTGTTACACAAACATAACAACAGATATACACACAGTTACATAATCACAGATATACATGCAATCACACATAATCACAGACATATGCAAACACAATCACAGACCTACATACATAATTTCAGACACACACAATCAGGGGCACGCACAAAATCACATTCTTACCCACACATATATGTATTTAGAAGTCCACCCAGCCTCCCTACCTTGCTTTAGGGTGGCTGGAGTGGTTTCTCTTCTTTGTGGCCAGTGTGTTCCTGCTGGGAACACAGTGCTCCTCTTGCATAGGTCCCATGTGCACCCTCTAGTGATGCTAATGTCATATCTCAGGTGCCAGCTTATTGCAAGGCATGTGAGAGTGCTGTGCAGAGAGAGCATAGTAAGTGCATAGCTCCCTGCCTCCCTTGCGGATCAACTCCACTCCCTCACAGTGGTCTCTGAGATATTTTGGCAGAGTAGCCACCTGCCCAATTCAGTTAGCCTAGGGTTCCCCACTTCCCCCCCCCCCCCAAATCCTGGAACTATAGGCGGGGACAGTTACAGAGGGGGGTAATGAATAATCAAGCGGCGCAATTGCCACCCATCATCCCTGGTATCAGAATCATAGCCAGGAGGGGTGGTTCATACAGGAGGGCAATGAATAATCTAGGGATAACAATTGCCCTGCCTCACCCTCTCCTGTACAGTGCAATAGCCAGGAGGGACTTCTCAATGCTCAACTTGAGATATGCAGGTGATAAACAACAGTAATTTTATCTCAGTGGTTGATACTTCTCGATAATCAGCTGATCATCAATAGTTTGTGTTTGGAATAAGTAGTCTACACTCAGAATGTCTTCATTCATTAAAAGTACTTTATATATAGGCAATATATTTTGTTACTCTATTATGTGGCTTTTATTATGCCTTCAATAGCCCTTTCTCCTCTTCATGTGTACATTGCAGATCTAGAGGAGAGCTATAGCTTAGTGAAGAATGCCCAGGTGGGCGGAGAAATATATTCTCTATTATCTCATTTAAAGTGACAGTATGATATCTAGAGACATTAGAAGTTTTCATCACCCTTATTTTTCAAACTTAAACAGCCAACATATATATAAAACAGTAAAACTGTGATTTATATATGAGTGTCATCTGGGTAATTGTTGTGTAAACAATTGGTCTATTAGAAGGGTGAATTGTAAATGTTTTATCATATTTTCTTAATCTCCCTCTATAGTTCTGTATGTTTACCTAACAACCATGACAGATTTATTTGTTGAGTGCATTATTAGTTGATGGGTCAGTGAAATGCAGATAATTAGGCAAGGTTTAAATGCCATGAAAAGAAAGAAATGTTGAAAAAGGAAATCACTGAGTTTGCTATCAAGATTGATGATCTTTGTTCTGCCCTCTGGTGAGAACCACAAACACACCTCTGGAGAACCGCAAACCCCTCCCAAACAGTTTAGTACTACGATTCTATTAACTGTTGCTTTTTTGCACTTTCAACTACTACATCAAAATCAAGTAACCATAGCAACCTGTATTTGTTGGACTACAACTCCAATTTACTAAATTACTGATGCTTATGATGTGAGTGTTTAAAGGGAAACTCCACTATCCAAAAAACAAAATCACTAACGGTCACTGTTTGGTAGATATACCAAGATTAAAAATGCATGCATTTCACTCTGCATTTTTTTTTTTAAACTGAGGTTATATTTAAAAAAAATTGCAGATCTCTTTTCTGCAGCCTTTGTTAGCCCCCTACCCTCCTAGCCCAGCCCAGGCTTTCTGTTGCTGTCCAATCACAGACTGCCCAATGCTACTGATTGACATCCTGGGAAGTGTAACAAGATTAATTTATAAAAGTGACATTTTTTATTGAAGTCTGCACTTTTTGAAAAATGAAAGAAAAAAAAAGAAAAAGAGAGGGCAAACTCTCTGTACATAAAGCACTTCAGTAATTCAAGTTGCTTTATGCGTATGGAGTGGTCTTTTAATGTTTAGATTTTTAGAAGATGCATAAAGCTCGTTTACAGGGCAGTCACAAACCTAATTAGTATTTCATTTTATATATTATATATCAATTAAATATATTTCTGCAAAATTTCTACAAACATGAAAGAAGTTGAGGCGCTGATGTTTTATTTTAGGTATTGTGAGTTAGGTACCGCGAAAGCTAGTAGTTACAGATCCAGAGGAAATTGTATATTTGCATTAACTTTGTGAGAAAGACACACCACATCCTGCTGTATTCTTACACAAAGAGACTATCAAATCTGCTTCCTGAGACTTGTAGAATGTTAGTTATCCATAATTAACCCTTGCAACACGCATTGCAATTACTAGCCTCATTGTTTGACTGTACCTTGGATGGTCAAAGCAGCACAGCCGGTAGAACTATTTAGTCCTAGTATTTTATGTGTGTGATTTTATTTTTCTTATGCATCTATCATCAAGATATGTGTTACTTTGAGATTTAATACATATAATAAGCTTCTGAGTTTTAAGTAACCAACATCAATTCTCTAGCAATTTTTGTTAAAGGGGCACTATAGTCACTAAAACAACTTTAGTTAAAGGACCACTATAGTGCAAGGAAAACATACTTGTTTTCCTGACACTATAGTGCCCTGAGGGTGCCCCCACCCTCAGGGTCCCCCTTCCGCCGGGCTGGATGGCGAGGAAAGGGGTTAAACTTACCTTTATTCCAGCGCCGGGCGGGGAACTCTCCTCCTCCTCTCTGCCTCCGATCCTCCTCGTCGGCTGAATGCGCATGCGCGGCAGGAGCTGCACGTGCATTCAGCCTGTCTCATAGGAAAGCATTCATAATGCTTTCCTATGGACGCTTGTGTCTTCTCACTGTGATTTTCACAGTGAGAAGCACGCAAGCGCCTCTAGCGGCTGTCAATGAGACAGCCACTAGAGGATTTAGAGGCTGGATTAACCCATTTATAAACATAGCAGTTTCTCTGAAACTGCTATGTTTATAAAAAAAAAGGGTTAATCCTAGAGGGACCTGGCACCCAGACCACTTCATTAAGCTGAAGTTGTCTGGGTGCCTAGAGTGGTCCTTTAATGAAGCAGCTTTGATGTATAGATCATTCCCCCTCAGTCTCAATGCTCAAATTTCTACCATTTAGGAGTTTATCACTTTGTTTATGCAGCTTGTCACACCTCCCTGCATGTGACTTTCACAGCCTTTCAAACACTTCATGTAAAGAGTCTTTTAATG